AGTAAATGACTATTATCTGTTATTAAAATATCTTTGAAAATATGAAACTGGTGTGAATAGAAGTCGCGTCACTGACTTCAACTTACTGGTTCAATTAAATATAGCTGGACAAGCCATCATCAACAGAGTTACTTGAATTCCGGCTGAGCTAAACAGCCGATAGGGACTTATGACAGGTTCACTTCGGAATAAAGAAGTGAAGGTTAGTCCTCTTTCATAGTTTGCCAGGAAACGTGTGAAATGGCTTCGGCGTTGCACGCGAATAACAGATTTTGGAAATAAGACCTATCGGTGGAACAGAGTACTGTAATGCAACGCATCTCAAAATGTTTTATTTCTCCCCTGGTTCCCGAAATGTCACTGGAAAGTTTCAAGCTTCTCAGCCGCGGTGACTATAAGTTTAGTTATAGTCTTCAACACTAAATACGTATTCATTGTATGTACATATTTGTCAATAAATACTAACATTTTCAATTTCCTTTTCATTCATGATTAATATTCGTCTTGTCATTCTATGTAGGGAACAGAGCGTCGATTAATAACCCAAGAAAAGAGTATCATATGACTTTCCGAAAAGTTTAGAGTAATGTGACCTTAAATTAGGCCACGACCACTTCCACGTCCTTCCAATTCATTACTCCGATGCTACGTAGTCTACATACTGGAAGCGTTGTTAAATAAACAAATCAAAATAACAGGAAATGCATTAGAGGCTTGGATGTCCCTTTTTGCGTTATCAGAACTTTCGATAAAATTCTACATTTCTAAATTTAGACTAATTCTGAAAGCATTTATAACCGCCCTACTTTACATGAAGTCCTAAAGTACTTAATTAGACATAATAAATGGCACATCTTGTTAGCACGATTAATATATTATTATTATTTAGTGATCTGTCTGACGACAGGTCCATATGAATAGGATCCTTCCATCCTTTTCTCGGACTGGGACCTGTTCATATACGTTCTTGGCAGATGATCCAGAAGTGGTTTGCCATTGCCTTCTTCTGTGTGTGAATGCAGTAATTGTTGGGATGCCACGGAGAAAAACTCCGTGTTGCCTAGACCACGCCCTTGCCCAACACAAGTCATAAATTCGAATCTTGATGCTGAAACGTCGAAAACGCCTAATAAAGCATGAATAAAATAAAGTAATTCTAAACCCCTGTTGATTTCAGTTTCGACACACAGTCGCAACCGGATCTTGAAGACATCCGAAGCAGTTGCCCACAAGAAATAAGCCAGTTGGAATCCGCCATTACGAACATGAAATCATACTGTGCCAATAATCCATACTACGTTGAGAATAATTTCTCATTAGTTGTGCCATATACTTAAATGAAACATCAGCTGTCTTATCCCGGCTCTCTGAGTTCACAAATGCGGAACGATTTCTCAAGACTGTCATAACTTTCGTCGTGTTTAAAAACAACAGCGACACAAAGTTTGGAGCAGTGGTATTCAACCTGGGGTACGCGAAGACATCTTAAGCCTTGTATCGACTGCGCGCGGCTGCCTCGCGCACCTGTTCGTGCGCGGCAAACTCGTTCGTTCGCTCATTGTGCTCGTGGTTACCAGCATCGAGCGCGGCAGCCGTGTTCGGCTGTGATCGACGCTGTTCGTCAGTTCTCGCAAGATCACCATGAATACAGCACAGTGAAATCCCTTTGCCGCGGGACAAAGAACCGCTCAGATTTGGCTCGACGCGAGCCAAGTTCGAGCGCGGCATTGTTCGTTTTGCCACGCGTAGCAACATGGTATCGACTTTGCGAGGCAAAGCAACGAACATTGCCTCGCGAGGCAGCCGCGCGCAGTCGATACAAGGCTTTACACAAGATGGTCCATCGTTCTTTCTTTCCACGCGCCCCCATTCTGGTCTCTTCCATTCCATCTTCCAACGCATCGATCGAGTGGTTGCCATCCCTGAATCGTACCTGACAGTCCCCGGTTTGTATCACTTCTTCGGACACAGGCTACCCTTACAGATATTCGTTTTCGTTTCCTCATTTCCGTCAGAAAATATCAGGATTAAATTAAGCGCTATACGTCGCTTTGCTTCCTTTCCAATTCATTAAACTCGAATGGCGTGTCACGTGATGTTACGTAATTTAAGTAATTGAAAGTGTCTTTAAATTTCGTACGTGGGTAATAATAGATGAATAAAATTTTCGTTTTTCTTTTTCTGTTTCTTCTTCATTCGGCTTTTCTTTGTTCGGATCTCTACGTTTTCCTCTAATTAATTTTATATCTTGTTCTTCCTGTCTCTCTGTCTGTCGCATTTGCCCCTTCCTTTGTTCGGATCTTTAGGTTTTAGTTTTCTGTTTCTCTTTGTCAAAACCGGGAGACGCATCGAACAGCCCAGAACAATGCAGTTTCTCGGACAGCCGATACAATGGGTCAAAACAGCGCAGTATCTGGGGGTCACCCTTGACACCGGGCTTACCTGGTCTGCGCACGTCAGCCAGGTGGGAAAGAAGGCAGCGCAACGATCGGGCGTGCTAGGCCCGCTCCTTAATGGGAGAAGTGGCCAGTCCATCAGGAATGGTGTGCTGCTCTACAAGCAGCTCATCCGTCCTAAGATGAATTACGCATGCCCGTTCTAGAGTTCAGCTACCAGCAGCCAAGTCAGTTAGCTGCAGGTGTTGCAATCCAAGTGTCCTCCCATTGCGACTAAAGCGCCTTGGTACGTTAGTAACTGGCAAATTCACGAGAATTTGGGAATACCGCTCTTTGCCAGAGCACTGACCGTAAGCTTTGACTCAAAGTTAGCTGGTGTGGGGAACCCCTTCGTTCGGCAAATCGGGAGGCAAGGGCAACCGAGAGGGACCGATTTCAGCAGGCCAGCCGAGGCTGTCCCTGAACAGACGGTCAAGTCGGCGCAACGAGTGGTCTCACTACTCGGCTACCCTGACTGAGGTTTTCCGCGCTTTTCCTGAGTTGTAAGGCGAATTCTAGGGTATAATTCAAAAGTAGTACGGCCCGCTACCCCAAATCACGGAGGCCTTAGGCTGAAGCGGCCCATACATCTCTTGCTTCAAATACCTGAGAACCAACCAAACAAATTCCTTTGGACAAGTTGCCTGACGGGATAACCTCCCATCAACAGCAACTGACCCTAGTTTGAATAGTCGAGGCTCACGCCACGACAGAACCCCGTTAGCGTAAGAAAATTCCCGTTTCCATTTTAAGGCTCTGTTTACCATTTCCAGCAATATGTTTCGTACGCTGGAATGGTGTTACCTAGGAACGGACTCCGCCCTTAGTTAGCTTTTTGATTTATTGTTAGAGGTAAAATGGTCCGGACACCCAAGAACTGTGGAAGTTCGGTCAAAAAAGAGCATTTAGCTCAACCCTCATGATCGTCAACGCCAACTTGAACGCAGAATCAAGATCAGTATGCTGCAAACAGTGAATAAAGCGCGTATCCCATTGTCTCATTCTAAGCACAAACTGATGAAAATCGGATTCAATGCGTGAGGTATTAGTGTTCTGAATCAGATCTTGGGAACCATCAGCTTATCTGCACACAAGGTTGCCTGTTTTGAAGTTTAAAGAAAAATGACAGCTTTTCAAACAACTGCAACATTTTGTCCTATTACACGAAAGGTTGCAGATACAGGCCACAGGTCAGCCGCACTGATGCCACCGACAAAAACGCCACGTGCATCCAGCTTTTACCTAAAATTCTCATTATGCGGTGTTCTGGGAAAGTGGCTCAGTAAACAGATAATAATTGAATAGACGGCTCATCATCACGTTCGAATTGTGCCTCTCAGTGAACAGCCAGTAATCGGTTCCATGACAAAAACGCACATGAAAATTGCGCACAGAAAGAAGCTCACTTTCATAAATGCTCACACGAATATTACCCACACGGAAAAATGTTCACACGTATATATGCTCACATGGACGAATGCCCATATTCACAATACTATAAAGTCATCAGCCGCGCTAACTAGTTACCGTAGTATACCAAGGTTTGGGGAAAAAACCCTGAAGATGGGGACACAAATTCAATAAAATCTTCTCGAGCAATCAGCCGCGTTAAATGGTTACCGTAATAAACCGACGTTTCGGAAACAAATTCAATAAAATCTTCTGACAAATAGAAGCAGCCGCTATTGCTGAATAATTAATAGTATTTATTTGCTTCAGAATGATACAGATATTACTTGGCTCTAGCCGCAAGACGAAGATGACACTTGGGACTACACCCAATTCAGGAAAATTTAATACCCTTTAGTGACAAAACCAAGAATTCTGGGAACCGAAGGTCACCGTACGTCTTTGTCTTAAACAGGTAGGTAAATGCTATGAAATGGAAGTAACCATCCCAGTATCACACTCCAAGCAGCACAAAAAGTGGAATGTGTAGGGGATTAAGTGTAAAGTGGTCACAAAGGATTTCTTAGATTTTCTGAGTGGCCATGATATTGAGGGGATTGCGGAGAGCTGGGCGGGAAGTGAGGTTTATTCAATTAAACGATTTGTCAGCTATTGGAAAGAACGAAGAAGAATAACGAGATTCGGTAGGAATCCGGGGGGCCCAGTAATCTAAACAAGGGAGGGAATGAGCAGAAAGGTGATTGAGATACAAACGGGCATGAAGGAGGTAATATGAGTAGGAGTGAGAGGGCACAATAGCCTGCAGGTACAGATATGTATGGGCTTTGTATATAATGCGCCCCAAAGCTTTAGGTGGTTTAATCCCAATTTTACCATCGAGTTGGGGAGGACATGAAGATGTTGAGGGACCGGTTCGCGGAGACTGAATTTTTAATAGAGGGGGACATCAACAGTCGGGTGGGGACAAACCAAATAATCCTGCCACACACGTGGGCCTGCTTTAATGAGGTGGAAAAGGGCTATGATGATCTGTTTTGCGGTAGATCGAGCAAAGACCGAGTGTGTAATGAGGAAGGAAGGAAGCTCGTCGCTTTCTGTGAAAGGAACCTAATAGAAATGCGGAATGGAAAATACGGCGAGGACATCATGCTTAAATACCTCAAGACAAATAGTGTTTTAATATAAAAAATGCACATGTTTATAATAATTTGAAACATTTCCATTTACGTTTATGAACCACCATTTCTGACAATTTTTTCTAAGACCTGTAATATACTGGTGGACTAATGTTCTGAATTTTACGTTCTGAGTTATCTGGCACTAAATGCTGTTTGTATAATAACATTAGTATGTAATTTTGAAAGGAATATGATGTTCGAGTTACGTCATGCTTGAGTACCTCAAAAGAAATTGTGTGTTTAATATAAAACATGTATATGATAAGACATCTTCAAAGAAACATCAAACCTCTAGTCTGTACGTGAATAACATCGCGTCGTATGCATTCATACACATCTTAGTTGCTGCGATATCCCCGACATACTACGTGGTCGCTGCACGCCGATGAACGTTGATGGAGAATTGTGCTTCTCGGAGGCTGAAAACGCGAAATATGACAACACAATAAATAAACCTGTGACTTAAATAATATTAATCGGAAAAAGTGCTACTTTAAACCAACGAATATCTATCTCTAATGTACATGTTTATAATAGTTTGAAACATTTACATTTAAGTTTATGAAACACCATTTTTTCTACGATCTGTAATGGACTGGTGGACTAATGTTTTGGTTTTTACGTTCTGAGATATCATAACATTTGTATGTAATGTTGAAAGAAATATGATGTTCGAGATACATCATGCTTGAATATCTCAAAATAAATAGTGTTTTAATATAAAACATTTATATGATCAGAAGTCTTCAAACAAACATCAAACCTCAAGTGTGTCTGTGAATAACATTGCGTCGTATATATTCACATATATCTTATTTGCTCCGATAATCCCAGACAATCTGTAATGTACTGGTGGACTAATGTTTTGGTTTTTACGTTCTGAGCTATATGACACTAAATGCTGTTTGTATCATAACATTTGTATGTAATGATGAAAGGAATATGATGTTCGAGTTACATCATGATTGAGTACCTCAAAAGTAATCGCAGCAACTACGATATGAGTGAATACATACGACGCAATGTTATTTACAGACAAACTTGAGGTTTGATGTTTGTTTGAAGAGGTTTATCATATACATGTTTTATATTAAAAACACTATTCTTTTGAGGTATTCAAGCATGATGTATCTCGAACATCGTTATCCTTTCAAAATTACATACAAACGTTAAAACACAAACATTATTTAGTGGCACAAGTCTCAGAACGTAAAAATCAAATCATTAGTCCAACAGTACAGTACAGGTCTTAGTCTTATTCGCCACTGTTTTCTCCAATTTGCCAGTTCTGATGTTTAGATCTTTGCTATCCTTCTGCAATTTACCTTCAAATTTATCAGATAATTCCTGCTTGGCTTTCCTAAAATCTTGCTTAACTTCCCGAATAGTGGGTGTCAGTTGTTCTGCTAACTTAACGTTTTCTTGTTTGTTTCCATGTAGCAACTGTAATATTGTCAGCAATGGGTCCTGCGACGTTTTCTTTATATTATTTGATGTCCTCGGAGCTAAGACCTCTAGACCTGTCTCATTTAACGTGGGCTGATACCCGTCTACCTGCTCACAGTAGCTTCCTTCCTCCCCTTCTGTACCTATTGCTTCGTTCTTTCCGGTCTGGGATATCTGGTCGCTACTATATGAGGGTAGCTCGGCCCCTCGACCTTCAGAAAACTGGGTCAGATCGAATCAGTTTAGCTGTATAAGGGGTCATGGTCTTGTGTATCTACCGTCTTACCTCATACTGATCTTTTTGTTGGTTTCCATTCGTTTGAGAAAACCATGAATGTGTTTGGCGGTCTAGGGACTCTCTGATTCCGAACAACAAAAAGATAACATTTTGGTGTTCGTTTCCTCTTCTGTTGACAATGTTTCTTTGGCTGCACTGGTGTTTTCTGCTGGTCGTAATCCTGGTGCATGTTGAAATCTTGCTGTTGCCGACTTTTGCCAATAATGTGGTCTATATTTCCTGGAAGAATTTTGGAATCCATACATTACACTGTCTTTAAACTATAAGAATCACTACAGATTTGCGACAATTTATAACCGTCGCCACTTCTTAGCAGCGTGTTGCTAAGGTGGGATCGGGTACGATGAAGATATCTCGTTGGATAGGACGAGCCATGAGACTCTTATCACGGGATTATTGGTTTTAGTTAAGGTCGCCTCAGCTTTGTCACTTAAGGTGTTTATTTGCAGGTGATTGTTCTGGATTCACTCCTCCACACGATATTGTGTGTGAACATAGTTAATTTAATTTAAATTTGCGTCCGCGATAGCCAATTCAGAATTGACGTGACTACGTGACGATGAAACTGACTACTAAATAAGTTTTCAACTTTTTTTTTATTTTGAGGTCTCGCCTTGTGGAAATCTGCAACCTTATGCCACTTGGGCCATTTCAGAGGAGCATGTTGCCTCCATCTTCAGGTTTGCAGTAGGATTTTGGTAGGCTGTTTAAAGATGTTACTAATTAATTTCAGACTTAAGGAAATTTCAAGTGCCCTACTTTTGTTGCAGTTCACAGTTCCTTATATGTGCCATGCAACTGTGACGGTGGTTTAAAACCTTCAGACCTGAAGAATATAAGAAAATAACCATATTGTTCCTCACTTTTACTTCTGTATGTTAGCTTAACTGCAAAATCATGTCACAACATGTTTCACGGATCAATCTATCACTACGATGTTTGATGAGTGAGTGATATCGTTTATTTAATATAAGCCTACAATCTGAAACTTGTTGTTTGATGCTGATGGCATCTTTCGCGTGCAGCGTATACTGCTTTCAAGTATCTCAAATTGTTAAGGGTAGATGTCGCGATTACTGCGCTTAAAATCAAAACTTCACCATCTTAACAACTGACATCAGCTTTACAAGCATGAGGGAAGAGGAAGGTATGTGAAAGCAGTTGTATGTTAAATTATCGAAACAAATGTAATAGAACAGATTTGCAGGAAATAGAATAGAACAGAATCGAATATAGTGCAAAAAAGAAACCAGTTTTTCATATATTGTGTCCATCACGTGCAGCATAATATAGCATCTTTCCATATTTCGGTAAGTAATTAACGAGCACCCTTCGGTTGTAGCAACTAATTTAGTATAATTCCTTGCTAATGCTAATGCCTTTTTCTACACAACACAAACCAGTAGAATATAATATCCTTGTTCGGATCAGAATTTGAAGTAAGTAGATTACGAAACTGCTGTCCGGACCGCTGTAACCAGTTTTAACGTATATTCTTCGCACATTTGCATTCGTAGTGCTCCCAGTTGAAGTAAAATATTTACCATATTATGTACTGCCCAACTGTTGTAGACTTCAACAAATCAATAATTCAGAAGATGTGTGAACAGAAATATATGTTTTCAACTACAGTCTTTGTCTACATGTAATACGTAGTGTCGCATCATCGCCATGTAATTTTTTACAAAGAAATTGCATGAAGAATTGATAGCTGAATTTATGATCAAAACTTACCTCCAGACAAACGTTTTATATGTGTTTCCACTTTGTAGTGTTTTATTACTTTCCACAGTCACACACAATGCAGACACCATTCGTTCTTTAAAAATTTACATTAATGTACAAAACGTGTATTTTTCTAACGGCTATCGTGGTATATCATTTAGGATCACCATATTTAGTGCTTCTAGTAGTATGGATGAAAATTACTGGCATTACATTCACACCAAATTTCTTGCAAAGCAGTTGGCTTTTCAAACACTTATGGGACAACACACACACACATGCAGAGTGCATGGTGATTATGTAGCCTACATCCTTTCTTCAGAAAGGAAAGTAATTTAAAAGTTTGTGTTGAAATGTACAGCTTGGCAGTGGGGGATGTAATCTGTAGTTTTTGGTAAAGTCGGAGGGCCTTAACGTTTGTTATGTTCACTCCTGTAAGTGAATGTTCAACAACTTAAAAGCATAATATGTTTAAAGGTAATGGTTGAATTTGTCCCTGCGACTATAACAAGCTATTCCATCACCAGACTGTTCACTCATAGGGCAATTACATGAAGGGGAAATCTAAGAACAAGCTATATAAATTGCACTTCATGAAATGGGTGGTGAATGTATCACACTTTGGAGACCTACTTGTACATGAGAGATTATTATTAAAATAGACAGAATGTGATGATGACGACTGGATTACTCTGGCACAGGATAGAATACAGTGGCTGAATCTTTTAAACAGAACATAGCACAAACTTTGTTTTGTGTCATATTCACATGTTGTACTCATATATGATAGGGTCCATCAAAATGTAAAAATGTACCATGGGAGAGAATAAAGCGCCTAGTTTGGATAAAGTTTGATAATGTTGGGGCACACATCAATCTCCCACCTTCTGGGAACTATCAACTCGTGGACATCATGTTTACTGCTAATTTAGATTTTTATTGTGGCTGGCACGTGTTTAGCGCTCCCTTGTATCTAGCAGGCCCCACATTCACACATCTGCCCACATACTGATTGTCATGACATCTTTGGAAAATGTTTTGATTTCTTGGTTCTCATAATGTCACTGCCAAATGTTGTAAATCCCTTAAGACGTGAACTGTGATTGAAGATTCTATTTCCATCACAGTATTTTGAGTCTCTACCCCTCCTGTTTAAGACACACCATGGCATATACTTTGACACTGCAGTTACACTTTTGTATAGTTATCTGTGACTGATACGGAAGGCTGTATAATGTTGAACAGAACACTTAGCAATGGGAAAGGAATCTTAATTGTTACAGTGGTTTACTGAAGTTCCATTATTTTCATCTCATGACGAGCTCTTGAGCCATCTGAATCCAGTTCAGATTCACACACCAAGTCTTTGCCATTTTCTTCCACAATGCTTCAATTACTAACTTTTCTTAATCATGTTGTTGAATCAGTTCATGAGAACATTTTACATATTATTTAGTATGAACACATAAAACATTTAGAAAATTGAGACAGAATTGGCCTATGTCATCGGAAGGCTATAGGGCCAACAGGGTCAACTGTATAGTCACTTGTATGAACTTTATCCTGTAACTACGTAGCATGGAAATAATCAAGCTGTTCTTTTCTCAGATATTTCACATAGCAGGAGCCTGATTTTCTGAAAGTCTACAATAATAAAACACCAGCAACAAATTATACTTACATTTATGTATAAATTAAAACCAGATCTAATTCTGGGGTTTTTGCTATTGTTCAATTCAGAATATTTTATCTTATGGTGTGCAGTCTTTCAGGAACTTAACAAACATAAAGATGAAAACGTGCCAGGATTGTAATTTTACAAGTTTCTTTATATGGGTGTCACACTTGATCTGTGACATCAAGTTAAGAACATGGACTGAGAAGACAACTGTCATCTGGGATGCTGTGACTGTATTCTGAATTTAGGGTGTCTAAGAACAGTGTGCTAAGGTGTGAATTTAAAGTAAGAAGGGGTGATGGACTGACAATTGTATAGTAATGAGCTGCATAATTTGTATTTTTTGTCACATAGTGTGACCACTTACGAGGCGTAGCAAAGACAAGAGGAAAAGTTAAAATGTTTCTTATATATGATGTGTGGATGTGGATTGGATTGATGTGACTCACAATTAGTTATCACTGCTTAACTTTCGTTAACATGGCATTAAATGTTTAGATTTCATAACAGGTATGACATCTATCCCCAGCTGAGAAACTATTGGCTTCTGAAGAATTGACTGCACTCCATGCAGTTTGTTACTGGTCCTTACAGGGGTACAAAGGACTCTAAGATTGCGGGCGTGCACTTAGCCTTGGGTGGCACTTATCGACCCAGTCTTTGGTACGCTGTGTTGAGTCAGAGTGTAAACAAAAGTTTCAGAATAACTGATATTTTTCTAATGTTATGAACCATGCAGTATACCAGGAAGAATTCTCCTGGTAATGCTATCAGTGTGACAACCTGACAGTGTGTAATGTTACTATCTTAATGTTTATTTCCAGGATCATGCTAACCCTGACTACGGCAACTGTCAGAACTCGCAGGGCAGCCAGAACAACAGCAAATGCTGGAATAAATACTGCTTTGAGGACTCGTACAACTATGTGGATGACTACACAGAAAACGTGGACAATGACTGCCTGAAAGACTGGGGAAATGGCTGCTTGAACTTCGACAAAGACGCCGAACTATTTAGACCCCCAGGTATGTGACCAAACCTGTTATCATATTGTGTTACTTTCTATTAAGTAGCAAGATGTTAAACTGCTGTTAAATGAATTGACTCATGAAAGACAGGAAGTAATATGTTTGATACTGGACAGTTTTACTAATGGCGTCAAGTGAAGTCATGCTAATGGTACGTATCTGACCTAACTTAAAAGACTGTGGAGGAGGTGGCATGGCAACATTAAGATGGATTTGAGGGAAACCTGTTGTGAACTTCTGAGGTGTTTGGAACTGGCTAAGGATTGTTTCCCAAAGGCAGGCATTGTTATTAGAGGTGTTTAATATTCAGGTTGTAGGCTTCAAACCAATAGTGGTAATGACATCAGATATTGCTCAAGTGGCCACAATGTATTTATTTTCTGTCTGTGCCCGTTGTTAGCTAGTCATTTAGGAACGATTATAATTTCTTGCAGTGGAGAATATGACATGCTCTTCAAAACTTTATTATCGGAAGGTACCGTGCCAATGACCATTAAGTTATAAACCATAGGTCATTGGATAAGAAAATAAATATACACATAAAATATTGCTGGACAGATTGCACTGTAAACAATAGTACATAGATAATAACATAATACTAAAATCATCCACTACCTGATTTGAACTGTTAGGCAGCACATAGAATGTTGCTCATATCAGTATTAACCCTGAGTTCTGACTCATAATCTGACAATTATGTTATAAATTCTGAAAGCAGACTGTACTTGCCATTTTAGTTGTGACTGAACTTACTTTGAATCTTTCCGAAAACTAATTCTTCTTCTTCCACGGCTCTCCTGTCCGTATTTTGCCCATGACCTCCTCAATTCTCCTCTTCCATTCGGTCCTTCTGTTAGGTCCGTCTGTCCGAGGTTAAGGTTTTGAAACATTTTCCTTTTTACGGTGCAAGGTTGTTAGCCTTGCGACCAACCCCCAACCTGGAGGACCAGAGTACCTGCCTTAGTCTGACCTCTCCCCCTCCACCAATCTGGCTAGGGTGGCCCTACCAGTAGCTATGCTACCACCAGCATAGCTCTTGGGATCACTGAGGTACTCAAGTCCCACCACGACGACAAGGTGCAGGTACCATTAAGTGGGGTCCGAAAACTAATTAGTTCACTATATTTTCCATATTCTTCATCTGAATCTGTTATTTCACAGTAAATTGTGAGTAAAGAGGAAAGAGTAATATCTTACATAATGGTTGTATTCCACATCTTCTCACTGCCTTGTTTCATCAGGCCAATGCCTGTCCATACAGGATTTCTAGTGCTCATTATAAATAATAACTAACATTGGGAATGGAATAGCAGTTCTTAGGAAACACCAGTGCCGATATATGATATGATATAATTAGATTAATATAAAAATCTTCAATTTCAATTAAAGGCTTATTCTAGAGGCAACAAATTTTCATGTAGAATGTGACTCTAGTCACCATGACAGTAGACTTCCCATTACTGATCACTCATTTAAACATATGCTTATGCATGAGAGTTCGGGAATGAAATTGCCATTTGTGGTGATGTTCAACCTAATTACAATGAACAGGCCGTTCAGTAAGCAAAGTACATGGTTTACTGTGTAAATTACTTTAATCTTGCATGCAAAATAAAGGCAGGCTACTTAGATTATGCCTACAGTTATGATACTTTGTTACAGATGAGCCTTCCCAAATTGAAAGACTTCACAAAGCTGAAGCTTCTTGGAAAAGGAGGCAAGTATAACTTTCCATTAATACTTGCCAAATTAGCTGTTTAATACTCTGTTTATAAAACATGGGCCTGACTTTCTGCACCCCTCTGGATTGATGGAAAAAATGTAATAGTAGCAGCAGCAGTGTCAGTAAAATATCAGCAATAGCTGATCTGGAAGCAAGAAACATGCAGCTCAACCTCAGTTTAGGAACACTCACAAGACTTATAATTATGCAAACGTAACTGCAGAAGCATAGATTTAAACCTCAGTCACAACTGTTACTATATTTAGATATCTATAATAATGATAAAGAGGTGTCTAATCACAGCTTTCTTAAACTCAGAGCCAAATCTTTATTAATGTTTGACCAAAATCATGCACCACAAATATCAGAAATCTTTTCTTGTTTCAAGAGGTCACAGTCAGTGCTTGAGATTGATGGGAAATAGCTTAGATTCATTCTGTGCCTGAACAAAGGCAATAGAAATACATGTTTTTCCAACAGTATTATTCTTTTTCTGATGGCTGACAATGTTCTTCAACGTAACCTGGGAAAAGTAGATTGCCAAATGGGAACCGTTACTATCCGTTAATGTCTGTATCATGATGGAGTAGAGGGGACATAGATAAGGAACCAAAAATTCTTAATCTTAGCAGTAAATGCATGTAATTACATCAGCTCTTTTCACCATCCTCATGGAAGCGTTTAAGGACATACTCACTAATATAAATGTAACATTACCAGCATTTTATTACTATCTTCCTGGCCCTTGATCCAGTTCACTCCAATCGAGTTGGGAGTCAAATATAGCCTAGTTGTGCAGGGTGATAAAAATAATACGGAACCCATACTCTGTGGCTTACTTCTTGTTTTTGATGTTAACCTTTGCGCGCGGATGAACGTGTAAATTCGTGAGGCATAAATACCCTATAGTGGATGTCGGTGCAGTGTACGGGCTGCTGCAAGCTTAATTTTTGTAGCCCATAAGTATTTAACCAATAACTCCAGCGGAATGCGGTTTGCACTGCTTTGTTCTGAAAAGATAACTGTATGTGGACATATGGCAACACTGCCACATTCCATTGAGCTCTACCTGGGAATCTAAAAATAATATCCTGACCTTCTCATTCTCATCATGGATGTCCCTTCGTCTAGTCGCGTACTTACAGAAGCAGAAAGACATGCACTTCTAGAAGAAGTTTTGGATGAAAGTGACTGTGAGTATAGTTCGGACACTGACAGTGCAATAATAGACATTGATTATACACAGTTGGTGACAACTGGAGATAGTGATAATGAGAGTGACAATGGTGGTGGCGGTGAAATACAGGAGGAAATCTTCGAGGCAGAATCTGGTGTTGTTTCCAGCAAGTTTTTGTGGAAAAATATAAAATCCTTTACTGCTTCGAGAGACGAATTTTGTAATGTGTTGTGTGCAGTAAACGCGGGAAGAGGAAAGAGACTTCATTTGAAAATATTTTTGATATAGCTCTAGTAAAGCTCATTGTTGAAGAACCCAACAGGTATGCTCAGTAGGAAATTTCTAAAAGTGCCCATCCTCTCACATTTCGCTCTAGGATTAGGAAGTGGCAAGATGTTACAGTGGACGAAATTTACGTGGTTTTGGCTCTATTTATGTTGATGGGCATTGTTCAAAAGCCTACACTTCGATCGTACTATTCAAAGAACCGTCTGCTTTACACTCCTTTCTTTTCTGAAACTTTACCTTTGGAAAGACTGGAGCTAATAAACAAATTTATGCATTTTACAGATAATAGTAAGGAAAATCAATATCAAGACCTCCTAAACTTTTCAAAATTTATCCAGTCATTCGGCACCTGAATAACAATTTTCAAAATTTGTATCTCCCGAACCAGAACATTTCGATAGACGAGTCCTTGACTCTATGGAAAGGTCGTTTGTCCTTCAGACAATACATACCCCTCAAGGCTGCAAAATTTGGTATCAAAACTTATGAACTCTGCGAGTCTAGTTCGGGCTATGTGTGGTCTTTTCTAGTTTATACTGGAAAAGGCATGGAACTGTCGAATCAGTATATGACTGCAGACACCAACAAAACTGCAAAAATTGTAGTCAAACTACTAGAACCTCTTCTTGGTCGTGAACACACAGTGTGGATGGACAATTTTTATAATTCACCAGATTTGGCACGTTTTATGAAGTCCAAGAAAACAGACTGCGTTGGAACTTTACGTGCCAACAGAAAAAATGTCCCTCCTGAAGTGAAGAACAAGAAATTGAACAAAGGAGAGCACTATGGTCAACACTCCGGAGATGTGGCAGTTCTCGCTTGGCAAGACAAGAAGCGAGTCACCATGTTATCAACATACCACAAAGATGATATGTGTGTGACTATAAACAAAGCCAAGCGAGAAGAGATAAAGCCTCTCGTAGTTCGAGACTACAATAAAAACATGTTGATCTGAAAGATCAGATGCTCCAGCCGTACTTGCTGGAATGGAAGAGAGGAACAAAGTGGTATATGAAACTATTCAAAAGATTGCTGAATGTGTCAATTCATAATGCCATGGTCATGTATCGCAGCGTTCCACAAAACAAAGCCTTGGACACCCTAAGATTTCGAATTCTGTTAGCACAAGGCCTTGTTGAAAAACATGGCCCTGCTCTTCCGCGTCCTTCATCCGGCCGTCCGTCACTTGATCCGCCACCTAAAAGACTCTCAGAACGCCATTTCCAAGAACGTATTCCTGCCACAGGAAAAAAGGCAAAGCCCCAAAAAAGATGTGTGGTGTGCAGTAAACGCGGGAAGAGGAAAGAGACTATTTTTTGGTGTAGTGAGTGTGAGGTAGGGTTGTGCCTAGAAGGATGCTTCAAGGACTTCCACACGAAGCTCAACTTCTGATCCACATCCTTACACTGCTCACACACAGGGCGTTCATCTTATAAGGTAAGATAATAAAACCATCTTTTAAGAGGATTTCAGTGAAAAATTCTTAATTATATCTCATATAGTTCCAAAGTTATGATAAATATAGTATTTTAGAGCAAAATTTAAAGGGACACTAAGAAAGTATTACCCCAGGATGAACACAACCTCGGACTTTAAATCTCCACGGCAAAGGGTTAATGATATTTAAATTTTACATTCTGATAACACATAGCACAACTATCACACTGGTGGCTGGTGCTTTTATTGCATCTTGGGCGGTAGGAGAAAAGGAATATGTATCGATAACCTTTCTTGTAGTGATGAACGTTTGATATTACATAACACGTTTATATGGAATTATGATCCTTATGAACGCAGAGTCTACACACATCACAGCCCACCTTGAGCAGAAACCTGTGTACTGTTACAGGTTTTGGGAGGGTATACAGGATGAGTCAAAAGTATGTTTAAAAACTTTTTGTGTGTGTTCCAGGATAAAAAAATAACAATGTTCCTATGATCATGGGGTCACAAATGTTTCATTTTCGGAATAATGGCCAAAAATAAGTTTCAATGAATGACTTTATGTCAGAGTATTCAGAAGAGAGATTTTCTTTCTGCTATATTGCTTTCGTAGTGTTTTGATGCCAGGATAGCGTTTGTTTACCAACATGCGCTAGTAAGATTGCACAATGAAGTATAAACAGGTTTGATGCTGAACAATGTGCTCGGAGTTAAAGTACTGGAAAATCAAGTCAATAGTAGCAGTTAAACAGTGCAGTACTACTCTTGGTACATTGATTTTGATCAAGAGAATTAATTTTTCATTTGAAGAACTGAGTGACATTCATTTAACATACTGTGAAATGCAATATAATGTACATGATGCACGTCGAAGATATGGGGGGAAGTTTCTGGATAGATGTTTGCCATGGCCCGTCATGCTCGTGAGACAGATTCACTGTGTCTGTGCCATGTCTATGGGCGACCACGGTCATCATATGTGGAAGAACGCGTTCTTGAAGCTTTGAATGGAAATCAGTGTACCAGCACTTGAAGGATTGCTGCTAGGTTGCACACTTCTTAGGCTACTGTTCATCGGATTTCGTGTCAGAGATCATCTCAATGAACAGTATCCTCACCGATGTATTGGATGTGGTGGCCCAGTAGCATGGCCACCGAGGTCACCAGACCTGACTCCATTGGACTTTTATCTGTGGGGGTCACTTGAAGTCTGTCTTTTATGCAACACCCATAAACAATGAAGACCTATGGGAATGTGTGCAGACTGCATGCCAGATGATTTGAGGAAACCCTGGTACATACGAATGAATCCATCAGTCTTGTGTATGTTGTGCTTGGGCTTGTGTGGAGAATGGAGGAGCAACCTTTGAGCATCTTTTATAATGAAGCATCCCTGTCCTTATACTTGGCTTTAAAGGCATACATTGAAACTTATTTTTGGCTTTTATTTTGAAAAAGAAGCATTTGCGACCACATGTTCATAGCAACATTTTATTCTTATTTTTGATCCAGGACACGCACACAAAGTTTGTAAACATATTTTTGACTGACCTCTATATGGTCCGGAAAAACGTCGGTGTCGATAACCATTCTACCTTTCCATTCCTAGTAGCACTCAACTATGTTTTTGAGACAAAATCAAAGCTGTGCTTCACACTTGGTGAGTACATAAAAACAGCTCCTAATTCCATGATGTTTGAGAAGCAAAGTAAACATTGTAACAATAGGGGGTGTTGGTCAGTGGAGTGGGAGACAGCTAAGATGGCTGTTTTTTGGGTTGTAGTGACGTGTACGCTGGTGAAATTTACTGATGTTGCAGGGATCCTTGCTGCCTCCGTCACCCTGACAACACAAGGAATAAGAATGATTTTCAAATACATATTTCTAATATTCCATGTTTTTAGAATATGCTTACTACGATGACATAAAAATCTTCAAAGATCTGCCAATTTGTCTCAAAACTATTTCAGATAAGACGTAGAAATTTAAAGCAGTACCTAAATACACACGCCTTACACCTTTTGTTCTATTGTTGAATTTCTGCGGTTTAAAATGGACTGATAATCCTTTTTGATTTTATTGCAGTTAGGCTTGTCATTGTTAGCATAGGGGCACTGTTGCGCAACCTTTCTACACTCGCTGCACACTAAATATTGTTGAAGAGTCATGGCAGCACACCAACCCCATTTTGTATATTGTGTGGGGTTTATGGCATTGATTTGCAGCTACAAATCGACCCCAACCGAAAAATGTTTTATTTCATGTTCATAATTACCCGTCTTTATTACTTTAAATATATTCATTATTTGAAATAAATTAAAACATATTTATAAATATGATTTAATCCTAAATTTATTAACTATGTGTAATTATTTCACAGTATCCAAATCAGTTTCCCACGACCCAAAGATCCCATTGCATATGTAATATGTGTAATGCTGGATGTGAGCAGAGAAAGTATTACATTTAAAATAAAACTAGACATCAGTATTTATCTAATTATGAAAGTCTATAATCCATTTAATAGCTATGTCATTCCCATTTACTGTTGCCTCTTTTTGCAGAAAAATACTTTGAGTAGCAACAAATGTAAGGGGAGCAAAATATGTTTTGCTGCAAAGTGGTTGTGTTACTTTCCAATTCCATTCAGCAGATCTTGTCTGCCCTTGATACACAAGTATCCTGCACAGACGTTCTAATACACAGAAAGAAGTATTGGCTGTCACTCAATTTTTCTAGTCTTTCCTCTCATACTTGTATTTTTAGTATTTCATAGGTTTCCTAATTTAGTTAATTACTCACGTCACTGCCGACACATGCAACACTGGGAATTGTACTCTTAATAAGGGTCAATAGTTTTAGGACTGTGTTCTGCATGTCTTCAAGTTTGAGTCAGTTATCATCTTACACAGACAGTATGTGTGTATGTGTCAAAGTCTCCTGCTGAGCAAGCTGTGTCTGTTGTACTGAGTGTACATTCGTTGAAATCATTCTGGCCGACACGTGTTGTGTGCTGCATTGTTAATGCACTGTTCTACTGCTCATTTCTTGTGTAAAGGATTGCATTTACAGACGATTGATAACTGTATATAGTGGCCTACAGGTGTACTCAACAGTAAAATAGTTTCAGTTTCAATTAAATGTTTTTAGAACAGGTAAATACAAGGACTTGCCAATATGAGGACCATAGGGAGAAGGTTGGTCACGTTATTTATCTTGTTTCTCAAACATGGAATTCAGGGTCATGCTTGGGCTGTGGGCAGTCTCAAACAGATGTACAGCGTGACTTTTTTTTATAGCTTCCATTTCATCCCTGACTAAGGGAAGGATCAGCTGCTTCTTTGTGAATTGTCTTCTGCAAAACATCACTTTCCAGTAAAACTGCTGTCATTGACCTCTATTATTAAAAAGTGTTCTTACATTAACAATGATGCATTATCATTTTTCCTGACTATTAACCTGGTGGTGACTTGTACCATTTCCTGTGTGACTGTAGCATGTTTACAGAGACTACAGCTAGACACCACCTAGCCGAGATAGTCCTGGCTGCAGAATACCTGCATCAGGTGGGCGGACGGTCACACTGCAGTTGTCTGCAATAGATTACATGATATGCTGGTGAAGAACCTAATCTACTTAGTTGATTGTGTTGCTACAACATTTCTCATTTCATTCATTACTTTATTTCTGCTCTGAATGTCAAGTCATTTTTATTTTTGGTGGCAAATAAGAATACCAGTACATAGGGCAGCTTAATCACAGTGATATGTAGTGGGAGAGAAAATTTTGGAACTGGATCTCAATACCACATTAAGAATGTAACATGTCCCATCTTTTATCCCACTGTGTAAGTAAATTGTTAACTTGTTTCTTTCAGATTGGCGTGATGCACCGGGACTTAAAACCGGAAAATATACTGATCTATACCCACGGCCACACTGCAGTCTCAGATTATGGTTTATGCAAAATTTTCCTCCCTCACAAGAAGGTAAATTTAATATCCACTTCGTCTTTTGTTGGTTTTACCTACAGAGGCACATAGGCCAGATGCATGGTGAGGTCACCGTGGACCCCTGTCTGTTAGGCAGTACTCTTTAATTGAGGGAAATCCAGGTGCAAAAACCATTAAGAGTTAAGAGGTTTCAGGTGCCTGAAGTTGTTTTGTACCAATCCTTATGGGAAAATGTAACTTATGTCAGACGTTCTTTGAATTCAAGGGGATAAACTCAGAACTGCAATAACATATGGCTCTATTCAAATATCATAAATTGCTGCTGTTATGTAATTCAGAACCCATTAACACACTGTGTAGTATACCAGGTATGAAATATACTAACATGGAAAACCATGAAGCAGATGGAAGTACAGCATTAGGAGAATCTTAGAAAAAATACCTTATGAGGGCTGGAGATAAATGAACTGATTAATTTTCATGTCTTAGGTGTTAGCCACACTTAGTTTTATTTCTGTTATCAGAGAAGTACTTTCTCTTTGGTTTGTGTCTGAAATTTGTGTCACAGTTATTTAAAATGTTGTTCCATCAACAGGACAAACATGCTGATTCTGTGTATGATAGAGGCCCCTACATGGCCCCAGAAATGCTGCAAGGCAAAGGATGCAGTTTTGTAAGTATCTCCCACCTTGACAGTGCGAGAGTAATTATTATCTGAACCAACAGCCTGATCATTGTAAATTGATAAGGCAATGCATTATAATAATCTGAGACTTTGTAGTGCTGGTCTATTTAAATACCACTAAACTATACAAATTCAACTACCGTTATTAACTGATTTGATTTTCTTTTATAACTTGCATAAAGCAGAAGAAACTTTGCTAAATATGGTGAAAATATGTTCTGAAAGGATCACAATCCCTACTGTTTAAATACTGGCTTTGTGAAATATTTTTCATGGACTGTACCGTTGTCGCTAGTGAGATGTGTAATAAGTGGTGCCTTTCTGCTTCCTGTCATTCTGTAGAGAAGCAAGAGCACGTCAGTAGATATGACTTTGGCAATGCCTAAGCATTTCTTATTGCATGCAGATATATGATGTATAAGCATTGGATTTCGTAATGTCGGAGCTATGCTTCATTTCGAGCTGTTTCTGTTTGTAAGTTCAAGACTAAATTCAGTACCATAAAAGTGAAACAGAACGCAAAGTGTAAATGATGAAGTCACTACAGATAAAGAGCTTGTAGGATTTGAGGTTTTCATGGCAGTGAGTTTGAAGACGGCTGTCTTCTGGGTTGTTGCGCAACGACCCAGAAGACGGCCAACTTTAGTGAACTTCTTTGTCTTGGGTGGTTGCATATTGTAACTGTTGGTACTAGTAACTTTTAAATTTAAAGTGTTACCACATAATTTTGTGACATGTTTGGCAGGATGCATGTTTAAATTGCATGGACTGCAAACAAACTGGGCCTGAGTGACTGGTCATCTCCCCACACTATTCCTTCACAAATTCAGCCAGTTTGAATATAGAATTCTTACCACTTTTAAATCAATATTTATATTGGCGGTTCTCAGCCAAACACAGTAGGGAATCCATTACTTTGTAGTTTAACTATAGACCTAGTCTTGTGAAACCTCAGTATACATTTAGCTTGTGCTACTTGAGTTGATCTTTTAAAAAATGACAGTGTAGCGTTTCAGGTGGGAGAGTTTGGAAATTTGAGTGGCACAAATTATAAACTTCATCATGTACTCTACTCAGATGCAATTAATATTCATCTCTCTGACTTTTGGTTTATGATCATTATTATAATAAAATGGTAATAAACATTTTTGGAGTTAAATAACTTCTTGCAATAAAAAAATGCTGATGAACTTAACAGTTCAATAAGTATAAACCAAAAGTAAGACAATCATATGCGCTTTTGCAACTAAACCCTGCAAAAATGCTCCTACTGGCTTAGCTATATCTGGCCACTTGTAATAGTTTGAGAATTGCTGAATATATTTTAATGCCATTTGTTAATTATACTGACTTGATTGCTGATATAATTTAATGTTAAATGAAATGATAGTATGACTGGATAATTTGAATTGAAAACAATGGTTATTCAAGTGATTTCTAAGTTTCTTGTCATGCATTTGAGAGAAAGAGTAGAAGAAAAGTCACTACACTCTCCATGTTGGTAGGAACTACTTATCATACACAGGAATGTTCAATATAAATCTGGAGGCGAGAAATTAACAGTACATACTACAATTTTTCTGTCTCTTGAGACACTCGTGAAAATGTGCGATGGTGTGAAGAAGTGAAAATGACTGATTGCAGGTGTTGCCTGTTTTTTGTACTGTTGCAGAAAGTTAACTGATGGAGTGTTGGCATCATCGTGTATGAAATGTTGGCTGGCCAAAGTCCCATCTGTATTTGATGCCAAGGAAGACATTACAGCGCTTTACGAGTAAGTATTCCATGACCCAGCATACATGTTCCCCGCGAACATCACTTTCATTTGAACAGTTACACCAGATTACTTTGTGGCTAACACATTACTGCCTATTTCAATGCCAGTAAAGCAGGTGCACACATTTCAATCATATAGATAGTTAACCTTAGGCTAAGAAACAGGATACTAGAGAAAAAGTGGGAGGTCAGTGGGACCATACATCAATTATTTATTGATTTCAAAAAGCCTATGACTCGGTGAAGAGAAAAGTGCTATATAATACTCTTATTGAATTTGGTATACCAAAGAAGCTAGTGAGTCTATTAAAAATGTGATTAAATGAAACCTGTAGCAAAATTCGAGTAGGTAAATATGTATGTGAGACATTCTTCATCAGGAATGGTCTAAAACAAGGAGATGCTTTGTCTCTCTTGCTCTTTAACTTTGCGCTAGAATATGCCATCAAGAATGTGAAAGATAGGCAGGAGGGTTTGCAGTTGAATGCGACACATCAGCTATTGGCATATGCTGATGATGTTAATTTATTGGGGGACGATATAAATACAATAAAGAGGAACGCAGAAGTTTTACTAGAGGCCACTAGACAGGTGAGGCTAGAAGTAAATTCAGAAAAAAACTAAGTACATTTTAGTATCCCATCAGCAGACAAAAAACTGCATAATGATGGGCTTAAAAATGTGTACCCCCAATATTGTCAGGGATCAAGAAGAATGAGATGGACAGGTCATGTGGAAGTGTGATGTCCCGTAACAGATATCAAACGCTACTAAGAATGTTACATTTTAATGATAACATCACAATGATACCTGGAGACAGACTACACAAAATTAGACCTACAACAGCTGTCTTTATGCAACACAATCGAGTAATGGTACCATTCGAAAATCTGGCAATAAATGAGACTTTGGTGCTTTTCAAGGGACGTTTGCCAGTCCAACAATACATACCATCAAAAAGATCAAGGTTTGGTGTAAAACTATTTGTGCTAGCTGACTGTGAAACAGGCTGTGTACTAAATTTTATCACATATGTTGGGGGAGAAAACAAATTGATTTTGAAGAGCTAAAGCACGGTATTGGTATGTCAGGAAGAGATGTTATGACACTAATGAACCCCTACTTTGATAAAGGCCATAAGTTGTTCATTGACAACTGGTACATGTCTCTTTTGGAGAAACTTCATGAAAAAGGAACAAATGTGTGTGGCACAGTAAGAAAAAATAGGAAAGGCCTGCCAGAACATTTTGTGCACAACCTGAAAAAAGGGGAGACCGAAGTTCGCCACGTAGATGAATTGCTGTTTGTTCGCTGGTGTGATAAGAGAGAAGATTACACACTTAACCATTAATGGACATGAAATGGTTGCTGTAAATAAGCATGACAGACAGACAGACTCTAAAACCAAGACAGATGGATTACAATGCTAATATGGGAGTAGTCAACATTGCTGATATGCAGCTAAGCTTCATCGAGTCTGGAAGAAAATGTATCGAGTGGTACAAGAAGCTATTCTTCCACATTTTGGATATCATGAAATGAGCTGGTGTTAGACAGGATCTTACAAGAAGAAGAGATAGGATGGTGGGACACATTCTGAAGCACCCAGGATTGGTTAATTTGGTAATGGAAGAAACAGTTGAAGGGAAAAATTGTAGGGGGAGACAAAGATTGGAATATGTGACACATTTTTGAGGATGTGGGCTGTAAAATATTTGTGGAAATGAAGAGATTGGTGCAAGATAGGCGAAAATGGAGGACCACATCAAACCAGTCGAAAGACTGATGACAAACAAACAACAACAAAAAAGTCAGAAATGCTTACATCACCATGAAGATGTTGAGGGGTCTAACATTTCTCTGAAGGAGTTCAGATTGAATCTAATTCAACAGATGCTGGAGCAATTTGCAAGTGCGCAAATCCCAAGTAGAAGGGGGTGGGGGCGACCATCATCTCATCCACCACCGATGAGGCTTGTTGAAAGACACTTCCTGCAAGTAAGAAGGGGCCTTCAAGAGAATGTGTGGTCCGTTGAAGGACCGAAAGAGGAGACAGCAAAAACAAGGAAACCAGATATAAGTGTGTAAACTGCAATGTAGCACTTTGTGTACACCCCTGTAAGGAAATGTATCACAATTGTAAAATTCAAGTAAAAACTTCAAAAAAAAAACAACTATAAATTATTTTCTTTCTCTATTATATATAACATTTTGTAAAACTTTATAGAATTAAATTTTGTTCTCCTGCTGCAGGCAGTAGCAAATAACTAAAAAAACCTGGGTTGGGACATGCACAAAGTAGATTAAAACTCGGGAGTTAAACAGGTTGCAAGCACAGCCGTTAAGAAAGCAGAGTTGTGCAGGACATCAATGAAATGTGAGGGCAAGTAGAGGTAAAGGCTCCAAAAGCTTACAAGTAAAATATTTTGATATCTTTAAAATGGACCATTTTCCTTATCTCTTGCATGACATACATCAGAGATCTCCATTCAGTTTACACACAACGAAGAAGTTTACAGAAATTCACAGGCATAGAAACATTAGTTCCTAAAGCATGTTTATTAACTATGTTTTAATGACAAATGCAATGGACCTGTCTTTTACAGTAAAATTTTGTGCAACGCAGCAGATACTCCAACACGGTTCTCATTCGATGCGGCAGACCTTGACTGGAAACTTCTAGAGAAGAATCCAGAAATATGGCTGGGTGGTGATGAAAACGGTACACGGGATATTAGGAGGCATCCATTCTTCAATGTAAATCTTACCCCATCTGTGTTATCATATAATAGTAAGGTATTTACGCATGTTTTGGTTGTGGACTGTGCTTTGTCCATGCAGTGTTCAAATAAAATCAAGCACAGGGAACTGTCAGTGTTTGTCAATGATTTCCTTACTTTAATATTTCAGTAAATAAGAAGTGTAATTTACATTGCAAGAAGAATAACTTGTGTATAATAAATATCATAGACCTAATACTGTCAGTACATAGATAGTAAGACCAAAGTAAAAGGTTTAGGAAGACTGCATAAAGATTTTCAAAAATGACCCTCTCAGTATATGCCATAAAATTTTCAACAACTTCCTTGAAACCTTGAAGGCATGTTTAGATGTCCTCCAGTGTCTCTCCCAGTAAATGCAGTATTGACAAGTAACTTAAACTACAGTCCAAACTTTATATCAAATCAGAAGTTGGCATTTTAAAGTCCTTGGACCTTCTCGATGACTGAAGGGTCTTTTATCCCGAGTTGTTCTCACTTCTGCCTTGTCAGACTATTACTCTGCAATCAACATTGTGTTCCAGAGCACTAACATTTGTGCTTTAACCTAAAGGGACTTGCGTTGGGAGATGTCGCACCCGCTACCAGTTGGCACTACAAATCAAGCGGAAGAGACTTGCAGCATGGAAGTGTCCTTTCATACTCCAGACATTCGGTCGAATAAGTGTGACAACAATTATGAGGTCAGTAAAAGTATTCTGTTTCACATTTTAGTACGTGGTGCATAACAGCACGGTTTACTTCCGTTGATCCTATTAGATCTGGAAAAGGTGTTGGAAGCTGAGGGGTGTATTCCCATGAAAGTCTTATAGAAATTAACAGTGCTGCAGCTGTCCTTATTCCTTAGTCCTTAGGTAATATATGAGTGATGCAATGCTGTGACGCATGACATGAGATTAAAGATTTATTCTGCCATATTTATGAGAAGGCTTATGGGCGTGAACAGCGGTTACTGTTAAAGTAATCATGGTCATGATGATCTAGAGACAAGATAACAATAACACGAGTTATCTACTCTGGAAATACATATGAATTTGAAGACTTTAACATGGAGTAACAGAACATTTCAAAAAATAGCATGCACATCTGTGAATATACTAAACCAGGGTACCTCAATAATTTGTAAATGAACAAGACTCTATACTGGCTTCTAATTTCTTAATGTGGAGCGTACAGAGCTGCAGGGATACATTTTCATATAAAGCGCCTCAGAGGTGGCTGACACGAGACTGTGAGGAATTGCATGACATAACATTCTAAGGCACTGAAGATTCCCTTTGTGTATGTGATGGATAAGAGAAAGATTCAGTCTGCACGCATGGTTTTTGTTGGTAAATCCCAAAACTATTTATTTAAATTTAATTATGCTCCAGATCAGGAATATCAAATTTGGGAATGAGTTAGAGGGGGCAGGGAGATTACTTAGCCTTGGGCTGCAGAGAGGATGCAGCTTGAACACAAGATTAGGACTTCATGATTAGTTTTTCCCCTTAGGATATTCGCTAAGCTTAATTCCTTTTGCCATATTCTAAATGCATATAGAATTGTTTTAAGGAAGCCAATTAAAAATAGAGTTGAAGATGAGCAAGAAATATTGAACCCCATGAAGCATAGTCATTTTGAGAAGCTGATAGTATGCTTGGTTAGTTGGATAATTGACCCTCTGTAACCTGTCTTAAGAAGAATTAGTAGCACCATGCCCAATTCGCAGCCATCCTCCATATATCGACGCGTTCTCCGCCTGCATTTAGAGGAAGAGTCTTGGAGTGGATGACAAGTGTTGTTGATAAAGTGGATTAAACTGAGCTGTCTTGGAGTCTGGTTCACTGGGGGACTTCTATGTAACATATTTACTATTGAGACCCCAATGCAATAGAGACTTGATGTTTTAACTGTTATGGCTCTAGTATAAGTTTTACAATGAAGATATGTTTTTATGTCCAAGTTTCAACAGAATTTAACTTTCTATCTTATAAACAACATATTAAATAATTTCCATTACAAGTGAATTTACTTAATGTCTTTGTAAGTCATTTTGCGGGTATGCTCGTATGTCGCGCCACGACTGATACCTAATTAGGCCCGTGGCAGAAAAACCTCTTAGCAGCACCAAAGATCAGTAAGTGATAATATATTGGCTGCATTAATTTATCATATGTTGTCATTCAATAGTTACAATATTAATGGTTATTGTTTTATCAAACAGATTGTTATAACTTCAGGTGTCATCACTTGATTGTCACAATAATATACAGCAGTAATGACAATTATTTAACTTTGTAAATGTTACATTAATGGGTTAAAACTGCAAGCACGTATTAGTCATATTTGGCCAGCTTCAATTTATTCCCAGAAGCAGTACTGTCATGGAGAAGCAGAATGACACAGGCGGTTCGGGCATGATGAGGTTCTATGGTTAGTTTTCCACTTGTCACCGTGGGGGACCAGGTTCACAACCACGGTGGCCAGTGTGGAATGGTGGACAATGTGGCACAGGGATGGCCTATTCTCAGAACATTCCTCCCCGTACCATATCAGTGCACCGCAGTCACTCGTCATAGGGGGACTGGACAGTGGGGCGGTTAGCAGCTGCATTTCCATAGGGAGTCTCCTTCAGTACACTGCAGCAGCAGAAACAGTGCATGTTGTTATTCATATCTATAAGTTACAATAGAAAATGCCCATGAGTTGGATCCAATCTATAAAGTGACAGAGCAATGTCACAGGCCAAAAATAGATGTGCCTCACTCAATACGACACCACTTCATGCTGGTAAAGCATTTCCTTGTTTCAAACAATACTGAATTGGAAACGCATCAGATAAATGTTTACTTATATGCAAATTAATGTATATTTCATTTAAACACTTATAACTAACTACTTTCAAATTCAGTGAGTGTTATATGTAACTTGTTAGTCGTAGACTTTTGGACTCCTTTAACTGCTGTGGCAGTTACACATTATTCAAAATAAAATTAACGATATTTTATAAACTGGGGACGTAATATTGTAGTACCTCCTGCTTGAGCAGTAGTTGCTGACTTTAATATTTCAAGTTTTGTGCTTCTAAACAATCCACTCTACATGCAGGCAAAACTATTTGGGATTATCACAATTGATTTTGACATACACGATGACCAACTTAATAGATATTCTGGCAGACACTATCAAGAAGTATCACTGTTAAGCCTTGTATCGACTGCACACGGCTGCCTCGCGAGGCAGTGTTCATTGCTTTGCCTCGCAAAGTCGATACCATGTTGCCACGCGTGGCAGAACGAACAATGCTGCGCTCGAACTTGGCGCGCGTCGAGCCAAATCTGAGCGGTTCTTTGTCCCGCAGCAAAGGGATTTCACTGTGCTGTGCCCTTTTAGTTGAGACAGTCTTGTGGCGTTCCGTTGTAGCAACATGGAGAATGAGAAGTGTATAGCTCTCATACAGATTTATAAATCTAAAGAGGTGTTGTGGAATTCTAAAATTGTGAATTGCCATAACAAAAGTAAACGCGAGGACGCCTGGAAGGACATAGGTGACCAAATGAAAATTCCATTTCAGGATTTAAAAAAGAAGATGACAACTTTATTGGCTTCATACAGAAGAGAGAAGTCCAGAATTAAGAAGTCTCACCTAACTGGTTCTGGTACGTACATATTTATTAAATTTGTAGTATACCACTCGTATTATCTGTAATTATGCTAATACACTAATAATTTTTTGTTTATTTTCAGCTGCAGGTACTGTTTACGTATCCAAGTGGTTCGCATTCAATGAGTTCGACTTTATGGCCGATAAAAATACTCCAAACAATACTGTAGATACTTTGCCTGATGTAAGTATTTTCATTACAATATTTCTAATCCTAGCATTACTAAGGTTGGGAAAAATTGCCCATCCTTTTTATTGCCACAAATTGGTGGGCAATTTTTACCCACCCTTGGTAATCCACTTTACACAACATTTCTTGGTAATGTTAGGGTTAATAATTATATTGCCAAGGAATTTCTCCGTTTGTAACAAAATGTCTTGCAAGTTGCAAACGTTTTCCTTGGCATTGTTTCCTGCTCTTCGCGCAGTAACTCGAAGTGGTTGGAGTGATGATGCTTTTTTATCATTTCTCCATCGACATGGAATTACTTGTCCATTGTTCTCCGTATCGAGACTACCTCCGGGAGTGTAAAGTGCACGTGAACTTTGTTTTTTTCTCAAAAAGTTATGTAAGTACAAAGTAGCCATAACAATCTTTTTGGCTTTTTCCGGTTCTAATAATATTGGTTTTCTTAAAACTCTAAAAACAGAACTTAGAATACCAAAAGCATTTTCGACCACTCTACGTTCTCTTGATAGTCTATAA